CTGGGACCCATATGATCCTGAGAAGGAAAGGAAGGCAGGAGAGCGGCTAAGTCACTGGGCAGGACCCGCAGAACCCGCACTTGACATTGCCGCACTAGGTACCATAAAAGCACTCGCCAGCCCTTCCTCCACCCAGAGGCAGAGCCCACACCCTGACCTTTCCAAATCCCCCGCCACCGCCTCTCTAGCCAGGGACTCCATCTCCACCTGGGGGCTTTTAATGATGATATGGACATTTCCCCGGCTCCTGAGCTCCAAAGGTGGTCGCGTTTTCCTCTGAGCTCTGCGGCCAAATTAGTCCGGGCGGCTCCGCCACAGTGGCCTTAATTGGATCTAATTTCCCCGACAGGAGGAGTGATCGATCATGCCGACAAGTCCGTGTTTAAAACTTTCTCCAGATTAATCTCCTCCTCACCCTGCCGCCCTGCAGGCAGACCTGCTGCTGGCCCTTTGCTGCTGACCCTGGCTCCCACTCAACCCTCCCCAGTGAGGGGCTCTGGGGACCGGCTGGCCCAGCTCCCTGGTTTTATGGTCGAAGAAGAGACCCAGCACAGAGAAGTTAAGCGCCTGGCCTCAGGCCACCCGGTTCCCTCAGGCAGTGGGGCTGCAGAGGTGAATCGTGCAGGGTCCTGAGCCCTGGGGTCTCGCCCATCGGGAGGAAACAAACTGCCTACCAACTGCCTCCTCATAGCAGCTCTGGTTGGAAAGGATAATCATGTCGATTGTACAGATGAGAAAGCTGAGCTTCAAAGAGTTGAAGTAACTTTCTCAAGGCCGGCCATCGGGGAGGAGCTGTGTCGGACTTCACCGGGCCTTTCATGCACGAGGTCCTATGATCTGCAAAGAGCAGAACCGCTCTTCCACTCTCGTGAGATGGCCAATGGCTTGGCCATAGTAATGTCCAAGGCTGGCAACCGGGTCCCAGCGCTGTGCCAAAGCCAAGGGCTCGTCCCAGCAGGCATGGTCTCAGAAGAGCCGGTCGTGCGGGGCTCTCTCTGCCCAGCTCCCGGCACCCCATCTCCGTTGGCCATTGTACACGGGCCTTGGGGGCAGAACGGAAACAGTGGAAATTGGCAGCACGCTTCCTTTTGTGGAAGAACGGATTGCTGAGCACATCACTGCACGCCCCTGCTGTGTGGCGCCCTCGTGGGTCACACCGCAGTAACGGGGTTTCCGACGCATAGACTCATATTTCACGCGGGAGAACACGGGGCAACCTGACTGTATGTTAGAGGGACAGAGTAAGGTGACCAGACGTCCCGCTTTTGGCGGGACAGTCCCGATTTTTAACAATTTGTCCCACGGCGTTTTAAAAAAGTCCTGATTTTTGGAAAGAATGCATGACAAACTAGGGAACGGTGGGAGAACAGGAAGGGAATATATGGTTTTCGGCTGCCATGTGGCTAATGGTGTCCCGCTTCACCAATGTTAAAATCTGGTCACCTTAAGAGAGGGGTCTTTGAAAGTGCTCCCTCTCAGTCCTGTTCCTGCCTCCCCATCACCAACTGAATAAGCAGTGCCAGGCACCGTCCTAGGAGCCTGGTGGCGTAGTGGTTATCCGTCGGGCACAAGATACCCACAAGATCAGCTGTTCGAAACCACCAGCTGCTCCGTGGGAGAAAGATGAGGCTTGCCACTCCCGTAAAGAGTTACCATATCGGACACCCCCCCAGGCAGCTCTCTCCCTGCCCTGGAGGGTCTCTATGAGCCGGAATCCTGAGTTTGGCTTGGGTTTCTCAGGCGGCACTGTTCTGAGTTTTCCATGATGCTGAAGTCGTCCCCACAGCAGTCCGATGAGAAAGGTCTCATTATCGTTCCCTTTGGCCAGGCGTGGAAGCTGAGGCACGGGGCTTTCAGTCGCTCTCCCCCCAGGGAGACCAGGTCAAAGTGTGAGTGACAGGAACTTCGTGACTGCATACAAATCTGATGGCTGTCTGCCCTGCTCCCTGCCCCCACCCCTAAATCAGCCCGGATTTCCCCTGTTGGAAAAGCCCCTTCCTCCTGGGGCTCGATTGCCCAGCTCCGGGGTACCGCTTCCCAGGACACAGTGCTGCCTGCACCCTGGTCCCCTGCTCTCTGGCTGGGTGACTTCACACACAGCTCTCTGCACACTCTGCTTCCATTGCTCACCTCTGGGCCTCCACTCACTGGGCACCTCCCCTGCAGGTGAGATCACCACCACCTCCCTGCTGGACCGGGAGGCCAAGGCCGAGTACATCCTCATCGTGCGGGCAGTGGACGGGGGTGTGGGCCACAACCAGAAAACAGGCATCGCCACCGTGAGTACCCCTGCCGGGCCCTCACTCCCCGCTTCCCAGCCAGGTCACCCCCTCGATCATCTTCATGGGGGGATCCCCTGGGCCCCAGTCCATCATCAGCCCAGGTATCCCTGGGGCCACCTCAGCGGTGGGGTAGAAAGGGCCTTCTACCTGAGCTGTGAGGAGGCCCAAGAAAACGAAGGGGAGGGGTCTTCTCTGCCCTCTCCTCCAAAGGCCATCCAGTGGCAGGCAGCAGAGGGCATGAGCGACAAGAGATTTGGGAGGGGCTTCCCGGCAGCACAGCCACTCAGAGTAGGAAGCTGGGCCAGGGGGAACCCTGGGACCAGTCCTTAGCGCCTCCCACCCCCCACCCCACCCCCTGCTGGCCGAGATGGGATGTCTGGGCTTCCCTTGCTGGAACCAGACGGACAGAAGGACAGTGAAGATCGGAAGCCCCATCCTACCCCAAGACCTGTGATACCCCCCGAAGGAGCCTCTGAGTATAGGGAGCTACAGGAAGTCAGCCACATGTGGCCCGTTGATGATATTTATCCAGGTCCTGGGTGTTTTGCCCCATTTTGTTTTTTACTTCAAAATACGATATGTGCAGTGTGCATAGGAATTCATTCATAGTTGTTGTTTTTTTTTAACTATAGTCCGGCCCTCCAACGGGTCTGAGGGACAGTGAACTGGACCCCTGTTTAAAAAGGTTGAGGACCCCTGGCCAAAGAGAATGAGGACTGAGAGCTGTAGCAGCCTCCGTGGAGGTGAAGCGCCAGTCTCTGCCCCTTTCCCAGCCCCTCCCCGTGGGCTTTCTCCCTGAGGAGACCTCTCCCCAAGGCCCTCACCCCAACCCACAGAGCCGCCCCCTCCTTCCCCTGCCAGAAGAGCTCGGGTGGGTGTTGTTGGCTGGGGACTTGCAGGCAAGCCCCCAGTGCCCTATTCGGTCACAGGAAGCCCCAGCTAATAGGAATTCAAGCTCTATCAATAATTTACCTGGGCAGCAAGGGAGCAGGGAAATTGCTTGGCTTGTAGCTGAAACTGGGAAGCTCAGGGGATTGTATCAGCTCTCCCACCCCAGCTTCCCCCACCCTGTCAGTCCCCTTCAGCAAAGACTAGGGATGAGGTGGGAGAAATCTTGGGGTCACTCACGGCCAGGGTTTCAAGAGTCATTCCATCCATTCCCCTGTGTCCGGATGAGACAGTGCCTCATCCCTCCCCTCCTGGAGGGAACTGGCTCCCTCTTGTCCCTGTCCCAGAGCCCCCAAAGTGATGAAGCCCGTGGGGCTAGTCTCCTGTTGGCCAGTAGGAAGCTGGTGTGCTCCACCGCGCCCCTTGTGGCTTCACAGGTGAACGTCACCCTCCTGGACATCAATGACAACCATCCCACCTGGAAGGATGCGCCCTACTACATCAACCTGGTGGAGATGACCCCTCCGGACTCTGATGTGACCACGGTAGGTTGGTGGGACGCCAGAACGGCCAACACTGCCCTTCTAAGACTGTCTCCTGTTCACGCCCAGAGCCCCCTCCCCCCCCACCCCGTGTGCCCAGGTGGGCTGGGTGGTCTTTTGTATTTCTGTCGGCTAGCTCTTGGAGCAGTGTCCAGGAAGCTGTCTGTGACAGGGTTAGAGGGGGAGCCCCTGACCCCATGCCCCGGTTGTGGGAGCCCTCAGGCAGTCCAGGAACCAGGAGCGAGGCTGGTCTCCTTTGTCAGCCACACTTCCCCTAAGACCAGGGCCTGCCCGCAGGACTCTGACCCCCTCAAAAAAGGTCTCTTCCTCTCCTGCCAAGGCCCAGGTCTCACCCTCAAAATGAGCAAACCTCAGGTCTGTCTCTACACCTTTCCTCCTCCTGCAGCTAACTGCAGCCCCAGGGGGAGGGGGAGGGGATCCCAGCCCGGCAGGGGGAGGGGGCAGGTGAAGTTCACTGCGGGAACTCTTGGGAGGAGAACCCACCTGCACACGTGGCCAGCAGCAGCTGGGAAGCCGGGCCGAGCACCCCTTCGTGGGGAGCGGGCCTCCCACTTTGAGAACACCTCCCCTGCTTCCTAAAGGCCCCTTTGGGCTCAATGGGGAAGCTGTCCCCAGATGTCCACGCCGCTGC